TTCAAGGAAATGGGGTGATCCATCCACGTCCGAAGCCAGGTCGCAAGCCGGGCCATCGATACCACCCCCACGAAGCGGAAGGCCCAGAATCGGGCCGCCCAGCGAGCCTTTCGCGAACGTCGCGCCGCCCGCGTGAATGAACTCGAGGACCAGATCAAGAAGATCGAGGATGAACACGAGATCCACATCGCCGCCCTGAAGGAGCAAATCTCCAACCTTTCCCACGAGGTCGAACAATGCCGAGGTGAAATGTCCTGGTGGCGCGACCGATGCCACACCCTTGAAAAAGAGGTCTCCGTCGAGCGCAGTGCGAAAGAAGCCCTCGTCAAGGAGTTCCGCTCATCTTTGTCGAATAAAAGCTCGGACGAATCGCGGAGCTCCCCGGCCGACCGTGCTGTCCACGAAGCGACCGTCACTGCCAGTCCCTCGAAGGAGAAGACCCAGGCCGACCGGGAAGAGGTGCCTCTGGGTTGCAGCAACTGTTCCTCCACCCACTGTCAGTGCATTGAGGATGCCTTTACCATGCCTGGTATCGACCGGGGCGAACCGTCATCCAAGCGCCTCGCCACTGCGGGACAACGTACAGAGCCAGAGATCAAGCCAGACCCAGAGGAGATGGAGATTGATTTCACCACCCGATTTGCCGCTCCCCAAGCGCATGATGACACGGCCGTCTCCTCCCCCGCGGTTGACCCCTGCGGTTTCTGTCAAGATGGAACTCCCTGCATCTGTGCAGAGATGGCGGCGCAAGAGGAACAGCGCCGCCGCCGGAACTCCTTCGAGAACAACCGTCTCGCCCCGATCCAGAATCTCTCGCAGTTCACCCCGCCGCCATCCGAAGGGGATGTTCGTTCCGAGGTGACCTTGCCTCCCATTAGCCAGGCCACCAACCCCTGTGCCAACGGGCCGGGTACCTGCGCTCAGTGCCTTGCGGACCCGCGAAGCACCCTTTTTTGCAAGACGCTGGCGGCATCCCGCTCCGCCAGCGTTGCCTCCTCCGGTTGTTGCGGCGGTAAAGGCGCCGACGGTGGCTGCTGCCAGTCCCGCAACACAAACCCTTCCCGAAAAGGGCCCGCCACCTCCCGTTCATCCGCCACTCC